AAATAAATAAATAAATAAAACAAAGGCAGACGAAACACCCAGGACCCACCTATACCTCACAGTGAGAGTTCTCACACCTGTGGTGCTTCTGCCCCCAGGAGATATCTGGTAATATCTGGAGACATTTTCTGTCACCCGAGGAGAACTATGTCACTGGCGTCTGGCAGGTGGGTTGCCCAACATCCTGCAGTGCTTGGATAGCCCCCACACACAGAATGACAGTAGTGCCGAGGTTGAGAAACCCTGCCTTAAAAGACGAGGGAGGGGGAAATAAATGCTTCTATGTGGTTGCAAAGTTTCTACATTTAACGGGAAATGGTACAAGATTATCTTTTTTTTTTTTTCTTGAGACAGGGTCTTGCTCTGTTTCCCAGGCTGGAGTGCAGTGGTACGATCACAGCTCATTGCATCCTTGAACTCCCAGGCTCAAGCAATCCTCCTGCCTCACCTGCCTCAGCCTCCCAAGTAACTAGGAATAGGGTGCTTGCCACCACGCCCAGCTAGTTTTTGTATTTTTTTTTTGTACAGATGGGGGTCTCAAACTCCTGGGCTCAAACAATCCTGCCTCGACCTCCCAAAGTGCTAGGATTATAAGGATTACAAGTATGAGCCACTGTGCCTGGCAAGATTAACTCTATTTTAAGGATTTATATTGCAATCTGTAGAATAACCCTAAAAAATGAAAGTAAAGAGGCAAAGTAAAAAAGAAAATAGATAAATGAAACTGGAATTCTTTTTTTTTGAGATGGAGTCTCGCTCTGTTGCCCAGGCTAAAGTACAGTAGCGCAATCTCGGCTCACTGCAAGCTCCACCTCCTGGGTCCACGCCATTCTCCTGCCTCAGCCTCCCAAATAACTGGGACTATAGGCGCCCGCCACCAAGCCCGGCTAATTTTTTGTATTTTTAGTGGAGATGGGGTTTCACCATGTTAGCCAGAATGGTCTCGATCTCCTGACCTCGTGATCCACCCGCCTAGGCCTCCCAAAGTGCTGGGATTACAGGTGTGAGCCACCGCACCTGACCTCTTTTTGTTTTTTTGAGACGGAGTCTCGCTCTGTCACCCAGGCTGGAGTGCAATGGCACAATCTCGGCTCACTGCAACCTCCACCTTCCAGGTTCAAGCGATTCTCCTATCCCAGCCTCCCGAGTAGCTGGGATTACTGGTGCCCGCCACTATGCCCGGCTATTTTTTGATATTTTTAGTAGAGACTGGGTTTCACCATATTGGCCAGGCTGATCTCGAACTCCTGACCTCAGGTGATCTGCCTGCCTCAGCCTCCCAAAGTGTTGAGATTATAGGCATGAGCCACCGTGCCCAGCCGAAACTGGAATTCTAAAAAGCAAGCAAGAAAGGAGGAACAAACAAAAGACAAAGGCAACAAACAGAAATCAAATGATAAAAACGCTAGCTCCAAATCAAACCACGTATCAATACAACTACTAAAGGTCAATGCACCAGTTAACCTTAAGAACCTGACCTCTGAAATTCTAGCAGTACAGAGCCTAAGCTCTGAACTGAAATGGCTGGAAAGCACCGAGCTGCATTGAGAAAGTAACCTAAAAACTCTGCTTCCAAGCCAATGAATCCTGCAGTCAGGGTGGAGGCAACCTGGAAGTCACTTCAAAGAGCAGCTTTCCCAGTGCAAGCCACATGAAACCCTTGGGAAATAACTATAGTCAGAAATGAGCTTTCAGCTGGGCGCGGTGGCTCAAGCCTGTAATCCCAGCACTTTGGGAGGCCAAGACGGGTGGATCACAAGGTCAGGAGATCGAGACCATCCTGGCTAACATGGTGAAACCCCGTCTCTACTAAAAATACAAAACATTTAGCC